CCTGATGGAAATAAAAATAATGCTCATCCATATACTCTTGACTAAGATGAACATAATCATAATAAATGTATTCTGTCATTTAGCTTTACATTATCTGTCCCTGAGACTGCAAAGTTCCACCAGATGGTGGGAATAAAGACACACTTCACGTTAATGAATTGAATTTTGACAAATATTTACCTTGAGGAGTCTTAAACCTGTATTAATTTGTAATATCTGTAAAACTATTTTTATTTTACTAGAAAAAAAATTCACCTCTAAGCTCTATTAAGTTAAAAAAGAATTTGTACTAGAAAATGTTATTTGGTTGCTATAGGTACTCTGAAAAAATACAGAAATGTTTTCTAATAAATACGTGCTTAATCATATGTATCATACTATACATAGCACCAGGACAGCTGACCACCTTAAACTCACCCTGAAAAATCCTCCTTCTCCCCCAGTATTTACCAAAGACTTTCAGTGGCATTACTGAGCACTAAAATGACAATGAAAATTTAAGTCAGATTAACACAATTCTGAATCTAGTTTAAAGGTGTATGAGTTAAGGCAAAAAGCTAAGCTACAGTCACAAAAAAACCCACCAATACAATGGTTTAATAAACAAAATTTATTTCTCTCTCATGTTCTGAGGAGAGTGGTCTTAGCTGGTGACGCAGCTGTTTCATGAAGTCACTCTGGGACCTGGGTTCCTTCCAGCACATTGGTCCACAATCCTCTAGGACACTGTTATCATTTGTAGGATTGGAAAGGAGTCATTTTAGGTTCCAACCTGAGGAAAGGAAAAAGGCCAGCTAGGAAGCAAGTCAGACATCTTTGGGCCTACCCTGGAAATGGCACACACCCCACTGACAGGAGCCTGCCACCTGGTCACCCTGACTGTAAGGAGACTGAACCACGTAGTCTGACAGTGCATCTTGAAGGGAAGGACGGATGCTGGTGCGGCGGCCAAAGAGTCATCTCTGCTAAAAAGGCCTTTGGAGCAATGTAAAATGCCCATGATCAGGAAGTGGGAAGTGGTGCCATAAAAGTCAGGATAATGGTTACCTTTGAGCAGGGGAGAGATTTTTTTTTTCTGGATATGTCATTTTTTTTTAAACAGCAACATTATTTATAATTGCCAAGATACAGAAGTATCTTAAGCCCACATCAATAGATGAATGGATAAAGAAGATGTAGCATATATATGCAATGGAATACAACTGACCCATAAAAAAGGGTACTTTCCTATTTGAGGCACTTTATTCATATTTTTTTTCCATTTCAAAAACCAGAATTTTATAACTGGCATAAACATTTCCATTGCACCAAAAACAACAAAATACCTAGAAATAAACTTAAACAAGGTTATCTAT